AAGACATAGAAAAAGATGGCAAAATCCCGAACTCCTTCTATGAAGCTAGTATAACTCTGTTACCAAAACTGGGCAGGGATCCCTAAAGAATCAAGAACTATAGACCAATATCGAATAATGAACATTGATGCGAAATTCCTTAACAAAATACTGGCCAATAGAATACAAAAATATGTAAAACAAATAATTCACCATGACCAAGTAGAATTCATACCAGGGATGCAGGGATAGTTCAATATATGAAAGACCATTAGTATCATTCGCCACATTGACATGAAAAACTATAAGAAACACATAATATCGATAGATGTGAAAAAACATTCGACAACATCCAACATCAATTCCTGTTTAAGACACTTGAGAAGATAGAAATGGAAGGAAAATTCCTCAAGATCATACAGGCTATATATGAAAAACCAAAAGCCAGCGTGGTAGTAAATGGAGAAAAAAAGAACACAATCCCACTGAAAAGGGGAACTAGACAAGTATGGCCCTTGTCCCTACTCTTATTTAACATCATACTAGAGGTTTTAGTTAACAGCATAGGGCAAAGGAAAGACATCAAAGGTATTCACCTGGGGAGGGAAGATGTGAAACTGTCATTATTTGCAGATGATATGATTTTATATATGGAAAATCCCAAAAGCTCCACAAAGGGAGTACTGGAAGCAATAGAGAAATATGGCAGAGTGGCAGGATACAAGATCAACAAAGAGACGTCTATTGGACTGCTATATACATCATATAAGATAACAGAAGAGGAGATCAAAAAGGTTGTACTCTACAATAGCCAAGCAGAAATTGAAATATGTAGGAATATACCTGACTAAAAGAACAAAATATTTAATAAGGAAAACTACAGAAATCATTATATTAAAAAAAAAACTAAAAAAAACCCTGTTAAATTAAACCAAGAGTGACCTCAATAAATGGAAGAATATCCCATGCTTGTGGATTGGAACATTTTATGTGGTAAAGATGTCAGTTCTACCCAAGGCACTATATAAGTTTAATGCAATCCCAATACAATTACCCTCATCTTTCTTCAAATAAATGGAAAATGGATTACCAACTTCATATGGAGAGGGAAGAATCCCCGAGTTAGCAGAGAACTCCTCACGAAGAAGGACACAGTGGGAGGGCTTGCTTAACCTGATGTTAGCACATATTATACAGCCACAGTGGTGAAAATCGCATGGTTTGGTATAATGATAGATACTCAGACCAATGGAAAAGAACTGAAAACCCACAAATAAAATCATCAGCATACAAACAACTGATTTTTGATAAGGGCTCCAAAAATATCCAATGGGAAGTAGATGCCCTCTTCAATAAGTGGTGCTAGAAAAAAAAAAGATATCTACCTGAAGAAAATGCACAAGAATAAACTCCATGCACAAAAATAAAAAGAAGGTGCATTACAGTCCTCGAGGTAAAACCCCAAACTATTAGGGCCATCAATGAGGGAATTGGGTCTAACCTAAGAACTTTGATGGAGGGAATACATTGGCTATCAGAAATAGGGAAGGACACAAATACAGATGAGTCACCAATTGATAAATGGGATATACTGAAGATAAAACACCTGTGTACAGCAAAATGATTCACCAAGAGAGTAATAAGAGAGCCTACAGACTGAGAAAACATCTTTAGCAATGACACATCAGACAAAGGCCTTATTACTAAAATATACAATACTCTGCTAGCTTCCAAAAAGAAAAAACTAATTGCCCACTGAGGAGGGGGGCAAAGGACCTGAACAGAAGTTTCACAGGGGCAAAAATTTGAATGGCCAATAAACATATGAGAATATATTCCTGATCTTTAGCCATAAGAGAAATGCAAATCAAAACAATAATAATATACACCTAACACTCTCAAAAATAGCCCAATTCAAAAAATCAGAAAGCAACAAGTGTTGGAGTGCTGTGGTGAGATAGGAACTCTCATCCACTGCTGTTGGACCCATAGGTATGTACAGCCACTATGGAAATCAATTTGGCGATATCTAAAACAAATGGAAATTGAGCTACCATACGGCCCAGCAACCCCCCTACTGGGCAAATACCCAGAAGAGGCAAGAAACAAATCACAGCCAGACATCTGTGTTCCAATGTTCATTGCAGCACAGTTCACAATTGCAAGGAGTTGTAAGCAACCCAAATTTCCATCAACAGACGAATGAATTTAAAAACTGTGGTACATACATACAATTGAGTTCTACATCGCTAAAAATCAGTGATGAACACATGAAGCACATCGCCGCATGGGAAGGACTGGAGGAAATTATGCTAAGTGAGTAAGCCAAGCACAAAAGGACAAGTGCAACATGAGTCCGCTGAGGTAAGTGTAAAAATATGCAAAATTAGTATAGGGAAAAAGCTACTGTATACAAACACTCCAGGGGTGAGGTCCAGGTAGTATGGCAGGGGCCAGACCAAATCCAGGGATACATATGATAGCCAACTAAAAAGGAGGGGGGAAAAAAAGAAAAAAAGATGGGTAGCAGGGGAACAGGGCACTAACCGACCCAAGAGGAGGATATTGTTTATATCTCCACAGGAAAAGAGGGACCAGACTTCAATCCAGTGCTCCAAGATGTGAAAGCAACATACCTGCTTGAAGCAGGGAACCAGTAGAGAGGTCTAAGGGGCTGGTCCCAATCCCAACTCCGTGGACCACCACCCCTCCCCCAAGTAGAATTTACTTCAGAGGACAGCACTGAAGCTACAGTTCAGGGAGAGGGGCATATCTGATCAGAGTACATGGGAGCAAATGAAGGGGGAGGAAGAGAGAGTGGAGCACATCCTGGCCCACCATGCCTTGAGGACGATATCCCTGCTCAGAGAAGCCAATCCACAGAGAAGACCATATGACCGGCCCCACTATGAGACATGACATCCCTCACTGACCCATAGCCCTACAGGGGACAACACTGGAGACACAGTGTGGAAATTGTGCCTGATCTGA